TATATAATTACTCAGACGTGTTCCTAGTTACAGATCACTGACTGTTCGTTGATGTGGCACTCGGCTAATTTGCTCTGGAACAGAACACAGGGGCTTTGAGTACGAGCGTATATATTATAGGCACAGCCAGCAGTCGGGACTGAGACGCGAAGTAGAGACAAACCGTTATTTTTACATTTTTTAAATTACATTATTAATTTGATTTATTATGTACATGTATATAACACCCTAACGTATATTTAGATTGTTGTGATGGTGTAATATTATTTTTTTGATATTGTTTCACTTCGTATTTTACTACTCATGTGACCTTTATTACACTTCCCTCAAAAACAGGGTAACTCAGCCACGCAGGTGATAGTGTACCTACTGTAACCTACTGTATAATGATAATATGACTATTTCAAAAATGTAGCTAATAAACCTTTGTGTAGGTTGGTATGTATCGTGTTTGACTGTGTTGGTTTATGAAAGCAGGTCATAAGTTTCTAGGACCTGTAAAATATAACTTGGAAAACTTTATCTTCATCGATCCAACCGTCCGCTTCTCAAGACATGTTTGTGTAGTGAGGACAGACAACCAACTACTCCTTAAATTGATAGGATTAGGTAAAATATTGTTTAAATAACGACAGCCACTTGGTTCCAAAAAGCGAAGGAAGTGTGTCGCAGACGCATTATGATAATATTAATTTCAATATCGCTAATCCTTGTTTTGTCTCATAAAACTACCGACGAATTAAATGTTTTAATGCATTTTATAAATGCATATCATTTATTTTTAATATCAAATCGTAAGATCTAAAGGATTATACATATAAAACAATACCTAATCAAGAACATTCAAAACGAATATATATTATCTTCGCTGGTACAAAAAATAAATTAGGATAAAAAATATATAATAAATTTAAAAAAAAAAATCCATTTCAGCATTATCTGCTAATTACTTTAAATTCTTAATTAACTTCACCCTTTTTCATCTTAATAACAGAGCCTTGACACTTATTACTTTTTTTCTTTGAATGAATTCCGTTTTCTACTATCAACATAATAAATACGTCGAACCCTGGCCATTGCAATAAATAATATAACAATTTCTCTTCGAAAAAATTTCAACTTGTAATAATTACAAGAACACGTCATTAAATTCTCCAAAAGACATAATAATATTATTCATTTTGTAAAAGTTATTTCATGACTAATATATATATATTTAAAATGTTCGTAAAAAACTAATAATATTTTTAAAGTACGAGTGTTTTCATCTATGAAATGCTATTAACACCAAAACAAGCAATTACAGTTTATTTTATTTGTGTTTTTGAATTTGAATTTCAGATATGCTTGCCATGACTTGCAGTAAAGATACCTAGTTGATTAGTTTATCTTGCATCCACTGCATCCACGAATCAGTTTTGAAACGATTTAGCCTAATATTTGTGTTTAAATACTTTGATGAATACGAGACATACTGATATCGCCTCGAAAATTAACAGACTCTAAATACTACTGCTACAGTGCATAGATTGGCGTGGCGAAAAACCAGAGGTTTTCTGCATTCGGATATTTTTACATTATATATATTATTATTAACTATCAACAAATCTAAAAATTGTTAAAAAAAATTTTAAAATTGATATTACGTTATTATTTTAAAAAACAAATAACTCTGCTTGAAATTTTTTTTTTTATAACAACAATTTACAGTTTTTATTAATTCCATAATATATATATAAAGAAAAATGTTCAATAAACGGGTGGGTGGCCAAAACACACACCTTCCCAATTCGGGTTACACTTACCTACAGTATAGTTATTGGTAAGTGTCTCCGCCGTGCCAATCCATGTGAGATCGACTGTAACGGGATACGGTTAAAAACTTTTCGTTTGACGAATACATTAATAACGTTTAAACCGAAGTCATAAATGCCACACGAGCCGTTCTGTTATTGCGAAATTCTTATCTCGTATAATATGTAGGTTCGTAAAGTTTGAAACTATTGATGCAATGTGAAATACAGTTCTTCTTATTGAACACAAGCCAAGTATGTAATGTAGTAATGTATTAGGCATTTTAAAATAATATCTCGTAACGACTTTGAGGAGAACTGATATGTGAAACTCTTGAAGGTAATAAACCCCAAGTCTCGAAAAGTGTGCAGGTATAATATAGTATACGAGTTTGTCGTATTGAAATATTGCAATTTGTCGATGATGACAGTGATCAGCATCTCGTTCGAAATAATGTACAAATAATAATATGACTTTGAAAAAATTGATTGGTTCCAACGGCGAAAAAACTGTGAAGAAAATATCAGACAACTTATATAACTAACGGGAAAAATAATTTCCTTCGCCGTTTGAATGTTTGAAGCGCTAAGTATTAATGTTGACTGCCACTTCTCTTTTTCTCCCCCACAGTTGAGATTCAATTCATTCTTATTTAATATGACGTCATGGCTCGTGAGCATATATTTTTCATATTTTTTATTTATAGGTAATTGGTTTCGTTTTTTAAGGTATCGATTATTTGTATGCTGTGTATCTACTATGTAGTACGTACTCCTTGGCTTCGGTCCAATACTAATTTAAAATCATTTTTTTAACAATTAGTGACTTCCATAGACATATATAAACAAAATAATGATAATAATATACATTTGTAGGTGTCAAATTTGTAATTTCTACAGATAACGGATTAAGTATTAATACTATAATATAATGCTGGAAAAAATTGTTTTGATTTTCATTATTCTGTTAAAAAATTGTACTTATTAAATATAAATTTGAATTTGAGATTTGTTTAACTAAATAAGATGTGCAGTATTTTAATTGTTCTGTACAATTTCTGAATACATAAACACCCTTAATTATTTACAGGCTTACATCAGTATAAAAAAGCAGTGACAACGTGTAACAGTTGACTAATGTATGTTAAACTGTCGTAACACTTAAATATACAGGTAATAAAACTATTCTAAGTAAATTAAATATTTTAAACATAATATTATATATTATATAATAAATCATCGTTTAATGATATTTGCTATTATATTTGTAACCTTCGTTTGGTCTGTGATCACACTTTTTTTGTTATAGATTTTTCATTTATTTTTCAAAAATAATGATAAGCTCTAGTTGAAATACGAACTATTGTTGACATAAATTATTAAAACAATATTGGTTTATTCATAAATTTTAAATTTTCTCAAATACCTACCAATTTATTTCAGTAATATTTATGATATAGATATGGTATTCAGCAAACAGCGATGTTTGACATACGAGTACATTTAGAATTTTTGTTAATTCGCAATATTATAACCTAAATAACAATTTTAATTAAAAAAAAACCTTAAGCTCAAAAGTATCTGTCGCAATTACCACGAAGGGTATTTTTAGAAACCACGATAGATTCTAGTATATTTGTATGCAAATAATTTTTAAAATGGGAGTAAAACGAAATGGCATGATGGGTTTTTTACATTGATGTCGTTATTATTATTATATAGTTTTCATATTATCTTTTTCCGTGAACATTTTTTCAAATAATTCGTATAAAATAAATGTTAGTTTGTAGTTTACGCATCGCGGATCTTGTAGACCGGCGATAATTTGAAATACTTGACGCTATTTAATGGAGTCGGCTTACTCCACTTAAACACACCGTATACAGTATAAGTACTTAATCTTCGGATTAAATATGTACACAGTATTATAACTATCAAGCGATGACATTTAACAACACGTTATAATGTATTAGACAGCCGATACGTCTTTCTCTGCCTGCACAACATTATAATTATAAGTTATCATCAACAGGATTTCAGGAAATGCATTCACACGACCATTCGTAGGCTTACGGGATTTACGCAGAGGATACCGGATACGGTCACTTATACAAATTTATGCTCACGGTGGGTGTAACCATACCACGACGAGGCTTAATTTTGCCAATATCATAATATATGCTGGCCTATAATAATGGGTGTAAATAAGTGGGTACGAAACAAAAATAATAAATGTATTTATTCGTCTTTGTTTGTATTAATTAAATAGATATTTGAAACGTTTTAGTACTCGAAAATTTTGATATATATATTTTTAACGAGATCAGCAAAATACAATAGTTTGGTAATATTATATTACTTGTAGATACTCGTATATGGCTGTATTGATAGCGTGATAGCGGACAGCAATTAAGACGTACATACTGAACTCTCCAGAATTAAGAAAATCGTGGTTATGCTGATAAACAGCGCAAAGAAAACTAGAGTTATATGATTTTAGGGGTTGGTTGTAATACGTCGAATATCACTGATCGAGCACTAAATAATGGTATTATAGTGGAAATTAGTGCTTGGATTTTTCCGTTAACTTCACACGCATTTTGAGAACCCACTAGAATTAAAAAAATCATAATTTCTATGGCGATTTCATCAGATTATACTCATAATCTAATAAAATATTGATTAAATATCATTGAACCTACTTAATTGCATTATAATATTTGAATACAATATAATGTGTACACTTGTTTTTAAATATTGTATACGTCATATTTATCGGATTGTCAAAAGATAAAAATCGTTTATGCAAAATATGCAAAAGACCATATTTTTATCGATCCGATTTCTATATTATCTTATTGTTCATGCAACCCGACATAAGTGAATTTTTTATTTAAATAAAATGGAATTAAGTAGTTAAAATGAGATGAAAAAAATATTGTTATTAGATTGTTAGTATAGTTAGCTAATCAGCATAGAAATTATGGATTTCTTAATTCTGGTGGATTCTCAATGGGTGCATGAAGTCAAAACAAATTAAAGTTGAAGTTAAAAAAAAATTCAATCACTAATTTTTGCTATAATACCATTATTCAGTGCTCAATTAGTGGTATGCAACAATTTACAATCAATCCCTAAAAATGTAAGACTGTAGTTTTCCTTACGTCATTAATCAGTCTAAAAACCACGATTTTCTTAATTCTGATGGGTTGGGGTAAGTATTAATTTTTTTTCTTCCGTTTCAATATTTTAGGTTCTATAACCTTGGCTTCCTCTTCAACTTCTGTAAACAAATCGTTGTCGATACTAATTGATTTCCCGTATTCTGACAACTGGTAATGAAATGCAGGCACCTTCAATGATTTATCCGTGACTATTGGTTCGCTTAAACTGACTGCGCTTGTTTCGTTCGCTATGGCCACGTCGGCGGGAATTTTGACATTGCCTTCTTTGATCCAGGGATGTTGCAGAGCAGTCTTTATTTTTGTGCGCTTCAGAAAATTTGGCTCTAAGAACGTGGTTGTCAATTCTTTCAGTGCTCTACTTCTTCCCAATGACCTTCGAAATGTAAATTGTTGATCCATCTGTGTTCGTAAAACATCGAAATTAAAACACACAATTCATCCAAATAAAGTCAATATAAAAATAATTAAATGCACTTTGTATTCAACTGTAGTCTAATGTATTTTATAATGTGTTCTAGTTTAATTGCATAACGTATAACATTTTTTGTTTATAGATTTAGTTGAAAACTTATTCAGTTTTAAATAATGTGTATATTGATCCACCGCGGATTTACTGATTAGAGTGAACGGGACCTATACCTAACTTATACGTAAACTATAATGTGTAGGCCATGACGTGTTGTAACGAAAATAAAATATGTCTTATTGAAATCCTATGTAATAGTGTAATACTGAAAGGATTTATAAATTTTCCTGGAATTTTAGAAAGTGCTGCGAACCCCCTAACTTCTTAGTCCCCTTACAGCTATAAAACTACTTGCTTAAATTGATATCAAAAACTGGATAATGGGCAGTGAGCACAACTAGATTGTTTTTTGACATACAATTATTTATTATAGGTCTATGATGTCAATGAATACCTAGTACCTACGTCCTTAAATTGACTAAATTTGGTTTCTGCAAAGCACCTCGTTAAGTGCCTATAAATAAAGTTAACTATCTATTGTAATATTTCTAAGATCCCAGAAATTTACCAAGGATTTCATTTTGGTATGCATATTATGTATATGTGTCTTGATAATAATACAATAAACGGGCCTCTGTAGTATCTTGATAATTATTGAGACCATAAGATTTTTGTTTGAATATAATTCCTATTTGTATTGTCTGTATATTTTTTAATGAGAGCAAGTTAAGTGCACGCAACATTACACAAGTTTCAGTGAAATCATGTACGGACAATTTAGTTTTTGCGGTCGACACTGTATTTGACAGTCGCTTCATAAAGTAATGTAAAACCACCATTGTTACGTCATACTTGTAAAAACCGTAGAGTAACAAATGTGTTAGCAAATATAGATCGTAAACAAAATAATAAGCAATGTAGAATGTAAACATTTATAACCATATAATGTATAACACTATGTTTTCCTGATAATTTATGCATCAACCCACGGTAAAAATGTGAATAATTTGTTTTTTTCGGATCCTACAATCATTTATAAGTTATAAATCACCGGGACTGGCAGGCGATGTTGTACAATAAATCTAAAAACTTATAATAACAACTTTTGTGTTTTTTTTTAAACGATAATATAATGTGTTTAATAGAGCGAAATTAGTTGTCTTACACAGGTTACAGTTATTGTTATAGACGAAATGATTCGGTTATTGTATTGGTGTGAATCGCTAATAATTATCTATACGGGTAAGTCTGATTTTAATCGACACCTTATATTTCAACTTTATTTTTAATTTTTTTATTTAACTTTAAGATATCTTAAAATGTCTGCATCATATTAATTTCAGAGGTTGTATTATTAAATATACATTAGGAATATTACATTTATTTAACGTAGGTGTAAACGTTTACTTATAGATTTTGAGAGTACTTGGGTACCAAGCCACGATCACACTATGATAGAAAAAGGCGATAGTTGCCGTCGTGAAAGAACTATAATTACACATGTACAACTGTGTCAGAGCGAATAAGTAGGTAGATAGTGTGTGGTATTAACTATTGTGGAGTTCGTGCGGAGACAGTACGCTGTTTGTGCAACTATCGCGTTTCACTATCATCGTGTGACAGCGCGGGTCTCAGTTTTAAAATGCAGTTCATCATAACAATATATTATATTAATTATCTATGGCACCGCTGCCATTGATGCGATTTCCCGATAGACCTATTAACTGCTATATAAAGATTTTAGGTGTAGGCTCTCTATGTCAGGTTAACTAGTGAATCGATCTATGGCCAATTGGAAACCAAGTGTGTGTTTTTTAACGAATAAAAAGATCCATCCAGGACGTGTATTTGATATATTTTTCCACCTACCGAAAAGCATTAAAAAATAGTATCCGAATGTTTTTCTTTAAAAACGATATATTTTATGCGTTTTTTTCCACTACGATCTCACCTGTCTCTTGTGTAAGTTTTCCTTTCGGCTGTTGCGGAACGGCGGCACGTTGTTGGCCATTATGAACAGCACGACACCGATCGCCCACACGTCCGCGGCCACCGGATTGTAAGGCCGTTTGCCATGCAAGAGCTCGGGCGCCGAGTAGGTCATCGTGCCGCACACAGTGTCCGCTCCAGGATTCCGTCCGCGGTCCACGAACCTGGCGAACCCGAAGTCGGCTATCCTCAAGTTGTACCTTTTGGTTAGCAGTATGTTCTCGCACTTCAGGTCTCTGTGCACCACGCCCAAGCCGTGCATGTACGAGAACGCCCACAGGATCTGCAACAGCCACGAGCGGATTTGTTCCTCAGTCAGCTTCGTCTTCCGAAGATACGTGAACATGTCGCCGTTCTCCGCGAACTCCATGTTTATGTAGATCTTGTAACCGTTCTGGAACACACTGTATACCTGCACCGATGGGCACATTATTATATTATACTTTCGACGTGGTGATCCCAATATAATATAATAGTTAAGCAGGTACTAAGAATTCGGTCCTTCCCGAAGACTAAAGAATAGTAAAGGGGATACGATGGTTTTATGCTTTTCGATTGGTCACCCTAAGAGTTCGGCCGCCCGTCGGTCCATCCCCCGTGGATAGCTGGTCTAATCATAAATAGGTACCTGCGATTTTTAGTCTTCACCAATATCTTTGAAATGCGTTTAAAAAAAATTATAATTGAATAAGAGAGGAGAGAGAGTTAAAATTATTTTAATTAGTAGTTTATTTCGATTTATCCAAATCAACTATTTATGTTAACGCGTTTATTGAGAAATCTGAGATATCTATAGTCAATGTATTCAAATATTTTAAAAGTTGTGTTACCAATTTACTTTCATTCAGTACTCAAATAACTATTGAAGTTTAAAGTGTTGAAATCACGAGAATTCGACGATTCACACTGTGTAGTGTATAGTTAGTAATAGTGTATAATAACTACTAATAAGTGTACGGGTTTTTGCAACTGTAAAAATTGAAAGTCGAGCAAACATTTGTGCTTGCAAAATTCTGTAGGTCATTTGTTATATCGATTACAAAAAAAATGAAACTAGATAAAAATTAAATTGTTACATTTCAACAGAAAACTCGGAAACATACATCACAATAATACTGCAATTTTACATATTATATTCCCAAATGTAGTGACTACCTATGCAGTACATATTACATTATACATTTTCATATTACCTCCGTAATGTATTTACCTCAATATAAAAAAATTACATGTATTATGTTTTTCATATTTTAAATGAAAATAATTTCATTTTTAGTAAAATAAACCATCTTTGCTTGTCTTAAGGCACTGTGGCCAAATTCAAAGAAAACAAATACACATATTTTATGTAACCTTGGAGAAGTATAAAAAATACCCGTACGTGACAAAAAAGTACATAGCTACATTTTTTTCATTCTATGAAATAGTGCCTTTCAAATCGATAGTACTAAAATTGTGTTTTTGACAAAAAGCTACACGATTTCGTAAAGTGTTCCTAGGAGCTTAACTTAAAGCTAAAAATGTTTACTTTGAAGTGTTATTTGCCTTTGATTATTGTGCAGGTCTATTTCTAACTAGAGTATTTCATGTTTGTAAATTACTTTATTCCAATAATGTGTTTCATTTGAGAATGACAAAGTTATTTGGTGGAATTTAATAACAACTATCTATCTTTTTGACAAACACTTGCGTGGGTTCATGATTTACCATATAAACTACCTATACACAAGGATTCAAAATAATCTCAACCAAACGAATGGATATATTAAAATATATTTCCACCGTATTATATTGTGTCGCGTTTTCATAACATACATATAAAAACAATTTTAATGGTTAGAAATGAGAAGGTAACAGTCGTTTTGGGTACTATAAATAAGGCAAAAAAAGGGAAATAAAAGCTAACATAAATTATGCGTTAGAAAGTGATATTAGTGAGGTGTGAGTTCAGGTTGGAAATGTTATATAATATAATGTTATATTTATTTATATAATAAACAGTTCATAAAATAAATACATTTTTTTTTTTAACTTAAGCACGGCGACTAAGGTCTTTAGCTGTTGTAAGGGTTATGAACTGTGGTAGGGGTAATGTTGGTACGGTAGGTTGTTTTTTTTACGATTGTTACGGTTGTTACTGTTGAGTGTTGGTAGCAAACACGTGTATGTGTGACAAGGTTTTTAACTACTATGAACCCGGGTGGTCACCCACCCGGAAGCTAGTAGCTGTAGCCGTTACTTACTTCCAGTCGCATTTCGCGACTGGATAGCATCCTACGCGCCACGCCAAGCCTCTAAAGGCATTTATAATGTATGTAAATATTATAATTGTTTAGTCAACTTGCACGAAAAATTGATTAACTTAGTGGTTCGACACAATTGAATGGAGCAATCATATGGGCCACCAAATCGTGTTTAAGGGATAGTTATTAGCTCTCTATTGATGTTTAGTGATTGTTCATGTAACCCGGCATTGCAGATATTGTTATTAAATATTATCTATAATCTATATTATTTTAATATTATGTACCGATTTATATTTGTATATTATTTTTGTGTATCCCCTCTTCCATTTCAGATTTCTAGATGCACGATTAGCTTTGTGGTATCAATAATAACGTGAGATACCTATATTAATGTTATTATTCAAATTCGATGATGTACCTCAATACACCGTAACGTAAATTATTACAGTGATCTATCTATTTCATATTACACTTGCCTGCACTATGTACGGATGTCTGAGTTTGATCATCACGTCCAGTTCACGGGGCAAGAACTTTTCCACGAACTTGGTGGAAACGCGGTTCTTGTTGATCACTTTTGTTGCGATCAGCGTTGGTATATCGTTCTCGATAGCTCCGAATTTGGCCAAGTAAACCTTAGAAAATGACCCTTCGCCGATCTTTTTCCATATGAAGAGGTTCCGGTGTTCCAAAAACGACGAGTCAGATGTGGTCATCATCATTTTGATGCGAAAACGTAGAAGATATTAAATAAAATGAGTGGAAATTTTTTTTAAATATTGTATTAAAATGGTAAATAATTTTTTAAAAATATTTTATTGAGCTGGATTGTTATTATGAATGAAAAATAAACACTTAACAGTTGCTATGTATACAGTATGCTTTGGTTAAAAATTAGTTTTTTTACACTAATTTGTATACCATGTTTTTATTACGTTTATTTAAACATTATATTATTAAGTAAAATTTATTATGTATTTATGTATATAAAGTATGTGTATTATACTATTATATACATTAATGCAGTATGAATAAAATGTTAATTTGAAAAATGTATCAAATTTATATGTTATCTGTATAATATGTATATCATCATGTATATTATTAAAAAATGTATCAAGTTTAAGTACAGCTGATAAAATGCAAATAAAAATTAAAAAAAAAAAAAAGTACAGCAGTGATTGGCAGTTGATTAATTATGAGCCAATGAACATCGTTGTTATGTTTAAACTCATTTAACTGATAGTTAGTAGGTACAAAAGGTAATATTGCAATAATAGTCATCTACTAAGGTCCCTGCTACATAAATTTTTTTTTTTATTTATTATAATTAAAATGTTTCAACATATTGCATGTTATTACAAGTTTGTTATTTCAATTAATACATAAATCTATACACTGGTTAAACTGATGGTTAAATAAAATTTCCCAAGACATGACAACGGCCACGCATAAAACAAATGACATTTTTTTTTAATTGCTTATGATTAGGTAGCTATTTTTTCTTCAAGTAACTATATTATCATTTATTTGGTAGTAACTAATAGTTTCAAAGTTAATGTGACTATCATTGTCATAATACTTCATTCAAACATAAGTTTTTATTATTTTAACCTTATACTGCGGTCAACAAAAATTTATCAAGTGCTGGTTCTAAGTCTTACGTTTAACACCATGCAAATGTTGTATCAACTTCAATCTCACCTAAGCTGGAAAATACCTCGCACAATATTAGTAGTATATTAACACCACTTAGTGTTGAACCAGTACGGCTATACCACAATTTTCTAAGGCTGTAGACATTAATGAAGACAGTGATTTAGTCGGTTGTTTTATTTTCATTACCATTAGAGTGACCATTGATTTTTTATCTTCGCATATAAATCTGTTCCATTCAATAAATGGGTTTCAGTACTCTATAGTGACACCTATAGGCACATGCCGTTCATAATGTTGACACATCTGCAACTGTGAAAGAAATACATATAGGGTAGATGCAATTTTGTAGTCAACATGATATCATTAGACATAGTTAAACATTTCACAGAACTTAACGCTAAGCGTGTATGCGTAGGTCTATTGCGATTTTGAATTAAAATATGATGGTAATACTAACAATAGGTACTTGGCTCAAAACAAGCTGTGGAAAAATAGTAAAGAATAAAGTACAAGCATATTTGAGTAGCCAGCGTTTGATTTTGTAACATTTGTTTCAATGCCTATTTAATTAAAACATGAAACCATATGAGTGTATATTACGGGAGTATTAACTTTTAGAACTAAGAAATATTATGTATTATTTTAAAAGAAAAACCGTCTTACTAAATTTTAATAATGCATTTCATCAGGTATCACATCTGGAACTATGTTTTTATGTTATGCATATTTTGAAAATAATGTATCGCCTTATTTTGTTAAGTAAAGATATTAAAATAATGTATTTGTTGTTAAACAAACATAATTCATTACCGAGGGCACACCTAATGAACTAAAAAGGATTTCAAAAGTAATGAAAACTTAATAACCAAGTATCATAATATGTACACAATTCATATTGTATAATAATAATGTAATTTAATAAGAACCTAATTTAATCGTAGTGAGTTTTAACATTTAGTAAAAACAATAGAAATATAATAACATACCTGTATTCATTACAGCTGTTTCCTTACTCTGTAATACATGTTTATTGTTTCAAGGAAAAAATTTAATTAGATGCCAACCTTATGAACAAATCTGAAAATGTAAGACTAAAAATGTATAGATAGTGTAAATTAAAAAAAAATAGAAGTATATAAATTATAAGTTGAAATTCAATAGCAAGTAGTAAGTATAAATTATAATAGGCCAAGAAGATAAGGGGGTTATGATAATATAGAAGTGTTAGTAAAGACTATATACCATAATTATGGCTAAAAAAAAATATTAAGATAGTAAATAGGGTGATTGACGAAGCATACTCGCCCTAATTTTTTAATTTTATAATAAATAGTATTTATTTGAATTAAGATTTTTGGAATTTTTAAATAGACATTATTTTAAAATTCTTGAGATTTGTTGTACCTTCCTACTACTAATTAAGTGTCTCGTAGCGATACAAACTTCTGTTTTTCAAATGAAAACCAGCTAAGACAGTGCTACATAAAAAAAAATATAACACCTAATCTGCAGCTGTAGTTCTGTGTATGACACGAAGAGTACAAGAAAATAATTATAAGGATGATAAATACGCTTAATGAGCAAGTTAAATTACTTTGCAAACAACTACAGAGTTCAAAATAGAATAAAATCATAGTCATTAACAATACATCATCTATTAAAATATAGATCGTTTAAGTGTATGTATTTTAATTACATTTTTTACTATTATAATTTACATATTATTTAAAGTAGTATGTTTCCTATAAACAGTTGTTCAAATAAAAATATAAGTACACTACAAAAATAGTGATGGTATATAATTTTTATCGATTACCTATATGAATCACTTATAACAAAAATGAATAATAGTTAATGATACATATGCGATTTTCCTGTGGATTCATTTTTTCCCTAATTATTTTAGATTTTATTAATTTCACCATATTGTTATGGTTTTTGGTAGAAAAAAGTATAACGTTGCTTGAAGTAACTAAATTTTCATTTGAACTCAAATTTTTAACTACATTTCAAGGAAAAAGATAAGTTTTTTAGATAGGTGTATTATAGAAAAAATCTATTACATTTATATTTATGACGTACCTACAATGATAAATTCTACTGGTTATAATAATTTAATGTCAGATTTAAGTATTACCTAACTTCAAAATCATTTCAGATTCCTTCCGTTTGTTATTAATCTGTCACTGATGCAGTTATATACCGTAGCTGGACCACATTTTTTATGTTTATAGTTATAAATTTATGAGCACGTAAAAGATTTGCGGAAGATATTGTAGCAACCGTTTTAAAGTTAAATGATGTGCAATTTTTTTTTTAAAAGGCCACTATAAAGTATTTTTGAAAAATTTCTAATTTCCAAACTGTAGTTATAGAATAGTTGTACGTTTACACCTCTTCAAATATTTACAAAAAACATGTTCCAGCCAAAAATATAATTAATTAGTTTTTTTTATAACTATAAATATTATTGTTATTTGGTCATGTTTTGTATTCTTTGTCATATAGTTTGTTGATTTTTATGTTTTCACTATTGTTTAAATTAATATATTTCTACGAAGAAATACCCTCAGGAAATTAAGCTGAAAAATATGAAATTCTATTAAATTAACATAACAATGTTATAATGTATATAATACGTGGAAAACATTTTTTCGTGATGTACAAAGTAAAGAAAAATTCTAAAAACAGAAAAAAGTATTTCTCATAATTTATTTTTATGCTTATTAATTAGAACGTTACTATATTATGAAAACACGTTCACTGAAAAAATATGTATTTCTACTATTTCTAGTACTTTTAAATGTCTCCAATTACTTTAATATAACAAATATAGTACCTACCGAGTTATTTACTTTTGAATGTTGGTTCAGAGAAGCAGACATTTTAAACCTAAATTATCTCCTTATGTGTGCGTAATAAAATCAATTTAAGGGCGTATGAGCACATTAATAAGAAGTAAAAAAGTACCTAGAGCAATTGAAGTATTTCAATTATTTGCGTAATGTCACATAACTGTAATAATAGCCAAAGCATATGAAATATTTATATAATAATAAAAATACATTTGTATCTAAACAGTTTATCGAATCCTTTAGTTTCTTAGAATTTGTTTAAAGAAAAACATAATTATTGGAGCCTTAAATAGTACCTACCTACTTTTTATTTTATTATGTATTAACCACTACATGTGGGTCGAACTTATTGCACATGACCTGGCCCCCATGCAGCATCGTTTATTGTCAAACAACAAATAACAACTTTAGTTGTCTACGCCTTATTTACCCTTACAACCACTTTCTTTTATAAAACAATGATAATTCATTTTTTTTTCGCTTACCTTTAAACTCGACCACTCCTTCTCAGGCTGGCTGTGATAGCCACACCGAAGTCATGCCCTTCTTGCCACCTACCGTCTGATTATCTCTTAGTTTTATTTGTTCATCAAGATCTCCTCTACCATTTTGTGTTAGACCCTGACTGACTTTTCATTTGTAAGGAATCACAGTCTGTCTACTCGGCGGCAGATCCCCAAAAAGCAGTCCAACCAAGATACCGAGGATATCAGTGGACGTTGGCTAGTGACACAATCTGACGTTTATGTCCAGAGTGATCCTGTCCCAGTATGGGTAATTTAACAAGATGTGCTCCACCGTATCCTCAACGTCGACATAGAACTTTAAATAATACCTAACTTTTTTAGTGATTCCCCTACAATAGATTCACAAAAACTTTTACTAAATCAAGTATTATTTTCTGGTCCATCTACCCAAACTTCTATATTTATTTTTATAACCCAAAGCTAAATGTGTTTATTGTATTCATTGTTGAATTGTTTGAAACAACCATTAATATTAATCAAAATTATGTAATTTGAGCTCGAATATTTCAATTTAAAATAAATATCATACTATATTGTATGATAAAAAAAATGATGCTTGAATTAGTTTAAAAGTAAAAAAATCACCTAACAACTATCTGAAATAATTAACAGTATGTGTATAATGATAGGTACTTATAATTATTATAATACTTGTAACCTGTTACAGCACAGGTAGAAACAAAGTGATTTATAGGATAATTCTTCTTGACAACAAGCACTCGTTTTTACTCTAGCAACTTATAATGTTATGACTTATTAAATAATAA